AAACCGTGGTAAAGAGAAAAACACCACCTACAAAGGATAGCAGGAGAAATTACACATCAAGGAGAACGCGCACATGGCCACAGAGTCAGGGGCCAGCAAGGCCGCCGTTCCGGAAACTGAAACGCCAACAGGAGGCACAAAAATACGAGGAACAGAAGAAATTCAAGAAGGACTCCAGACCGGAGGACGCCAAGACCAGCCGTCCAGGGGAAAAACGGAAAAGACAGCAACCCTACGACTACCACTCCAAGAGGCCAGCATGCAGAGGGCGAAAAAGAAAAATTAACGTGGACGACACTCGGTGGACTTGAAGGAGAAGACTGACGTCCATGAAACCTATAACCTGTTAGCAGTTCTGCCAGAAAAGAATGTCGGGGTTCCATTCATCGAAAACTCAAAGATAATTTAAAATCTTCTATAAAATTTTTTCCTTTTGTTCCGAAATGTTATGCGTAAATACGAAGTTCTATGTTTTGACGAAAGTCAATATGTCTCGGTTGAGACTTAGTTTTGTTTTACTTTATTTAGCTAAGACAAAAGTATTATTTTCTTTTAAGTGTAAAAGCTAAAAAACAAGCATTTTTCTGTTGGTCGAAAGACTAATTCTGTTATGTTAAAGCCAAAATTTGGCCGAAGATAAAAATAACTTCGTATTCTTGTATTCATAAGAATTTTACTTTCAGTGCCGCCAGCTTGGCGAAGAATGAGTAAAGTAAAAATTTATTTTCTCTTATTCATTTTATGGTAAATTGTAAAAAGCATATGTATTAAAATTTTGTAAATGTACGTAAATCCTTGAAGGTTATGTAAAAGTAGAATTTAGTCTAGAAGCATAAAATTGTAGATGCTAAAAGTGAATGCTTAAAAGCAATGAAGTCAAAATTTAAGTAGTAAATTGTAGATAAAGTCATGCTTTAGAGCGAAAGCCTGCATGTTTAAAGATGAATGAGGGGGAAGTTAGAATGAATGTGTTTTGTAGGGTTCTCCACCTACATTTGAATTTTTAAGAATATTAAAGTAGCTCATTGAGTTGTAGAATGTCGAGTAAGGTGTGTCTATTTGGTTCTTGAATTCTAACAAATCATGGTGGTTAGGGGAAGTGTTGTAAGACTAAAACACGAATATTCCCGTTTGACACCACACACGGTGGAGAGCCAGGGTAAAGTTAAATTAATGCTTGAAAAATTGAATGAATGTGAATTAAGCAATAAGTAAGAAAAACGAATCGTTAAAAACAAAAATTTATTGTGTCAAGAAAATGTAAATTATAATGTATGTAGAAAGATACTGATACTTATTTCTTCCAGATGCTGGAAGGAAAGACCAAGATTGATTGATGAAGTCCAGGAAAATTTGCTGTAAGAAGAGAGAGTTAAAACGAGCAACAGAATACAATTTGTTACTTAAGATTTTTTTGTGTAAACGAGGTTCTCGCCAGTCAGTTCAGAATTAGAGAAACTCACAACAGGTCGTTTGTAGGACCTGCTTCCAAGTTTTCCAAATTCTGGCAGCGGCAAATGTAGGGTTTATATTTATTTTTACTAACATTTATTTTAAGTTTAAACTATCTTTCCTGTCAAGCCTTACTTTCCCCTGGAACTGCCAATGCCAGAATATGTAAATTTGAGTAGAACGCGCAAGGATTCAAATTATCAGCGGAAGTATTATGATTTAAATAGAAGGAAACAAGTTCGGTGTGTGATATTCTTACTGCACGAGCGCGGAGGTAGTTAGCGAGAATTGAAGAACCCCGCGTTGCGGCCTATGTGCTTGGCGGGAAGTAGTGTTAATCATTCCAGTGAGCTTCAAGTCTGCTGAATTAGCAGCGGTATTGTAAAACGCGGTGAGTTAGTTATTTTAGAGAGCCTCGTAGTTAGAATCTTGTCTTTACTTTCTTTTCAGGTTATTATTTTTATTTGACTGCCAAGTTGGCACAGTCTGTGAGCGTCAAGAGCACGCAATTGTAATTTTATTACGTTGAATAAAAAGGGACTTAAACCCTTCACAAGGCTCTATCTTTTATACAAGTTTTCACAGTCACCTCTTGGTTGCGTGCAAGTTGGAGGCGCGCAACGTTATAACATAATGAATTGTACTTTCCAATTAAGTGCACGGGCCTACTAGTGGCCGAAGCGTCGTTGAACACTGGTAGTTCTGTCTTAGGTTAGAATGCCGCGAACGGGCTGGCTACATGGGTGTTTTCTTGGTTTTCCTATTTGTAACTGGTATACGAGCCAGTTTAAAAAAAATCTTCTACAAAGAGATCTCTCTAGCCCACCAGCGGCCGAGCGGTAAGAGCCGCTGAACACTGGTAGTTCGATCAGTGTCGAGTCCCGGCGAACTGGCTGGCTGCATGGGCGTTTTCTTGGTTTTCCCCATGTGTACGTGGATACGAGCCAATTTCCCTTAAAAAGACCTCCACGGGGCATCCCTCCCTTTCCTGTCGTGCCTAAGGGGGCAGAGCACGTAATAAGTAATAAGCAAAAAAAAAAAAGGGGATCTCTCCTGTTAGGCAGATATCCCTCGAGGTTTTGCCGTAATCACATAAAACAAATTCATGATGTGCACACCTAATTTCTAGAGTTTGTATAATTAATGTGTTTTAGGTATATTACCGAGTGTTCTATGGGACAGTAAACAACTCGCACATGTTTGATTGCTCATGTATTCATATGCTTTATTTGATCTTCATTTTGCTGAATAGTATCTGCTGGCTGTGAGGGGATGTAAATATCAGTCATATAAATTTTTGTCATAGAAGGTTTTTTTTTTTTTTTTTTTTTTTTTTTTTTTTTTTTTCTTGTTTGTTTGTTTGAATGGACAGAACAGTAATTATGAGCCATAAAGTTAGTCAAGAGTCAAGAAAATACTTTCACCAGGTCACAAATTTTCGAGTGAGCCATCAAATTTTCATTGAAATGCAGACAACAGAAAATACACATAAGTGATGTTTGATAAATAGACTTATCCAGCACACGTTTTTAAACTATTCTTAGTGTATACAGAATTTGGCTATTACTGATGTAATTGATTGCTATAACCAGAAGTGTGTTTATCTGTTACTTGAAGTGCCAGAGTGGAGATCAAAGTAATTAACTTGATAGCAATCACCTTTCTATTTTCTTTCATTACTAACAATACAGTTTAAAACGAAAAAAGAGTGTGAGCGATACAAAACAACACGAAGAAGCAAACGTCACTCGAAAGGAAACGTCACTTTCGCCAATCTGAGCGATAACTGATTTTTGTTTTAGCTTTCAGCCTGTTTACAAAGTGAAGATGGTAACCCTATTTCGCCAAAGAGCGTTTCTCAGAACTGTTCCACCAAACCTTTTGTTCCGGCAACAAATATCGTATGTGATAAGGGTTTTACTGAAATGGATTTTATAATTGTAATTGATGTTGTATGTAGTTGTAACCGTATTCGGCTCTCATATACCTTCCAGCAGTTTCGAGAATCAGAAAGTACTAGAAATATAAATATATCGGCAGCCGGATGAAAACTGTGTGAGACCGAAGAAAGAATCTGCTCTCAGTTCGAAGTACGGACATATCTCCGGGTTAGCTTGTTTGTTTACGTGCGCTTTGCATTGCGTTCTATTTAACGTTCTTAGCAGTTCGAAATGTGACTACTGATTGTACTCTGTGGTACTGTGAAGAGTTATACGACTATTTTGTGGAAATTTCCAGAACTCTGAAATATGTATTTCTTTTGATAAAATACATTTTATCAGAGTCAGAGTGTGATTTCAATCCATTATGAATGCGCGCGCACGTAACAAAAGGTTTAAGGAAGCATCACATTTCATTATAATTATTTAACAGAAGTAACATGTTTATCTCCACAAAACTTTAGCAAATTGATGGTTTACTGTCTAACGCATAACTCAGTCAGGAAATCAGTTTTAATGATTAGTCAAATTTAAGGCTTATTAATAATCTAGACTTTTCTAAAAACGGTCACTTTTAAATCAGATATAAATTATTATATTTTAAACTTTCCAGTAAAACCGAGATAATATCGTTTAACCACAATTTAATCTGTTGTTCACTTTCGCTTTTTAATTCCTAGTTGGATGAATAAAATTTAATTGATGACTTTAAAATATGCTTGTTGATGTGCTTTTTTGAGCTTAAAATTAAGACTCACAAACATAAACGCAATGATAAAAAATAATCACAGACAATAAAATTCTACATTTAAATATCCTAGTCTCGGTGTTTGTCAGTTTCGTTACTTAATTTCTTGCATTCTTTTAAAGCGTTTATCATTCAGATATGCTAATGTTTCTAATGCTGTTCTTGGTATTTATGTACTGAATGTTTTAGCCCAAAAGGCCTTAGCCCGGAAGGTCTATTAATTTCCTTTTGGCAGTTTGCGTCGAAACATTTAAAAGTATGAATCACTTTTCAAATTGTTCTCACCGAATATTATCGCCTTGTATTATATATAAAGAAATTTAATAATGAACAATCTGCATATAAATGCATGTATGTTTCTCGCATTTTGATAAAACAACTGTACCTAAAGCCAATCAGTTTTGAATAATGTCCGTCTCCATCCGAATATTAGCATCTGGAAGCCCAAATTTCGAATGTGGAAGTTGTTTTATTAATAAGTTTATATTTTTTAAAGCGTTTATGAGTTTTTCATTAAGAAGTTCAACTATTCCAAAGCGAGTAATGACAAAAAGTACAACAACAACAATATATTTTTTTTTTATCTGCAGCGCGCGAGATTGTATCGGAAATTCTAAAGATAAAATAGTTGTTATCTCTTTTAAAGTCATTTTGCGATATTGCTGTTGAATTGAATTTTATGGTTGGAGATAAGTGCGAAGAATAGATCTTTAATAAATAAAGGTAACACACAAAACGTTAAAAAAACGCCCCTTTGGGCATAATATAAAACCTGAAAGCTTTCAGATTTTTTTAAATATTATTATTATTTTTAGTTCCATGTCATTTGTAAAATTCTAGGATTTTCTAAAAACATTTACCTTCTTAAGAGCTGTCCTCATGGCTGTTATTCCACCCATACTATGTCCGAGTAAAACAGCTTTAGGAATATTCATTGTGTCCATAAAATGCAGCAAATCAGTGGAATTGATATCGAAGTTGAACTCATCCGACCATTCGCTGTCACCATGATTTCTCGCATCCAGTAGGTATATCTGAAAGCAAATGCATTTGTGGTACGTACTTTGGGTAAAAACCTTAAATTAGCATGAAAATGAGTATAACCGTGACTGTTTACACACATGACTTTAACGTAAAAGACAATACAGCAACACGCAAAGCCAGTGATATATAAACTTAAACATTATTTAACAACATATTTTCAGCCATGAAATACGAAAACATTTTGGCGCTCAAAATATGCACATACAGGAAAGCGCAAGAAAGAAAATAATAATTATTCAGGAAGAAAATATCAGTGGAAAGCATAACATCATACACTTTTACTATAAAAAATGCATAATTTCAAGATAGATGTTCTCATAAAATTATTAAACTCGAATATCTCTACGAATTTCGTACGTGACTGTACCAAACTTTTAAGTTATTATCTACATTTTACTTTAAGGGCCTACTATAAAAATTTTAAAGATCTGTATTTACAAAAACTTTCTGTTATCACTCCTGAAACTTGTTTAATAAACTTTTCAATTTTATTTTGAAAAATTTTGTTATTGCAAATGCATATCTAGAATAAATATTACACAAATAAAATCTAAAATACTAAAAAGCCTTCTTCAAATACCTTGTCTGTCAGCTGTAGGAAAATATATTTAAAAATATTACTGTTGCGCTTTGTAAGAAGCTTCTGATGTACGCGTGATTTTGACTAAGAAATATCTTAGCAAGCGTAACGAAATATGCAGATTCTGAAGAATACGGACTTACTGGTAATATACTGACAATATAGTGTTACAGACTTACTAACTATATAAATACTGCTATGGTTTTCTTAAAAAAGGTAAAATAAAATGCAGTGGCAAATGGAATCTATAAATATTCAAAATAAAAAAAAAGAGAGAGAGAAGAACAACTTTTCTTACCTTTCATTTTGTTTCATTCGCAATTATTTGGGGAATATCAAACCAGTATTCGGTTGAACGTGTTAAACCATGTAAAAAAATAATTGGCGGTTTATCTTCGGCACTACTTACAGGTTCGACAGTTTTATATGCCAGTCTTACAGGAGTATAGCTGTAAATAAATTGCACGCTTTCAATGTAATATAGCTGCAAAGCATCAAAGTGTAAACGATGCTTTTAAAAGTATTTTAAGTAAAATGCAAAAAACATTCGATATTTTTAAATTATGTACACTTTATCGGATTTAAGATAAGAAAATTTTATGAAATTTTATTTCAAATTAAATTAAAAACTATTCATTTCAGTTAATTCATTATTAATAAAATATTTTAAATTAAATATATTTGGAAAACTTGCTGTGTAATGATTGTTGAACTGCATAACGCAGTCTGAAGACAGCTTCCTCTTGTAGGATTCCCCACTGTGTAATTCTAAGTTACAGTTGAATGTGAAGAATCTTAAGAACAGGTAAGCGAATAATCGCTTGAGTTCGTGAGGTAGAAAACAACAAGTGAGAAGGGTGAAAAAACCCTTTATTATTCCAGCTAAAGTTTAACAGAACTCTGTCTTTGGAGTTTTACTAATAAAGTCGGTTCTAACTTAGGAAGCTAAGAACTAAACTAAACATTTCTTAACTAAAAAGATATAGAAGCTATCAAGATTCTAACGGAATTGGCGCCTTAACGCTAATTGACTGCGAAGCTATGAAGGATCTAAAGTAAGGCCGAGCGTAGCAATAGCTTAAGAGAGAGTAGCTTAAAAAAGGCAGACGCGTGCTAACCAGAATCTCTGGTTCTCTCTGACTAAGGCAGGAGAACTTCGCTGTTAAATACCGCTCTTCCTTGATTTGCATCCAAATGTGATTCTAAAACTACGTTCTGGCCGGGAGTGGCAAGTTGAAATTAAGAAGCGATAGAAAAGGAAGTTTAACTCAAAATTTAACTGTTAATAAAATTAACATAATCCTTACAGTTTCATAAACTAAATATCGTATGAAAAAAATAAAAGCATAGTAATGATATATAAGTTTACTTCAAGTACAATAAATCAAATTTTTTTAATAAAAGCAACACAAAAAGAGCGTAGAAATTCGTACGACTGTATTTTTACTATTATTTAAAATTTGCTTAACTCTCACAAGAGAGGGGAGTAAAAAAGAAAATATTGATATTAAGGTATAAATATATTTGTACAATAATGTTGTATGCAATATATTGTACATATTGTTATGTAATATAATGTAATATAACATAAACGTAATATATATATATATAAACTATATATTGTAATGTATTTTGCAGTAATTGACAAACCAGGCAATCTTCTTATTAGAACATAAATTTTATTTCTACTTCACGGAGATAGATAATTTGAAGAAATTCTTTTTAGTGGCAAAACTTTTATACTACTACTAGCTGGTATATATATATATATAATTGCTTCAAAAGAATAAAGTAAAGTTAAATTTAATTTTAAATAATTCTCTTGCGCCATGGCTGCAAGGAATGAAAATTTGAATTTAACAAACATTCTCCATTCGTAAAAAGCAAATTTAAAGTTAATAAATTTAAATGAAATTTAATGCAAATAAATAAATGATTAATTATTGCGAACTAATCTACAATATCATTTAAATTCTGAGAGCATATGTAAATCAAGTGTAAGTATCAAAATCCATGAATAAATATAAAATTAAAATTCCAAAAATTATATTTAATCCTAAAAAATTTTATTTATTAAAATGCATAAGGGAATGATTGTTGAGTAGCAGGAGATAGACTTATCAATATATATAATGTATAAATAGTATATTTTTCCCTTATCATCACGTGTCTTCGTGGTGCAATCGTAAGCACATCCAGCTAGTAATAGCTAGGTATGTAGCTTGAACATTGGAGAGAGCAGTGCACATTTCCTGCTTCGGTAAACCTAATGACTCCACATTTTGATATTCAGTGTTAACATAAACTAATACACATGAAAATATTTTGATTTTATAATATTGTTGAATCAAAGCTTTTTTATATTTTACATAGAACTGTTTCCTCGCTCATCAAGTGGCATAGTTTTAATGAATTTAAAAATATCTATTACAGCCCTTAACACTCTAACAGGAATTCTAAAAATGAGCTCTGTTTTGTCTGTTTTGTCTGTTTTGTCATCTCTGTTTTGTCTGTTCTCTGTTTTGTCTGTCATCTCTGTTTTCTTTGTTTGTCATTCTTCCAGATATTTATTAAATTTTCTGACAAATTTATTGGATTGAGGCAACAAAATGAGAGAAAAACACTTTGTAACCTAATGTTTTAGTAACAACCGGCTCATATTTATGATATGCTTTTAAAAAATAATAAAATGAGTTTCCGTTTGATATTTATTTTTCTACCAGTCCCAATGCTGATTGGTTTTGAAAACTTACTTGATTTCTAAACTAACTGCTAAGCCAATCTACTAATTAAACGAACCAAACTTTGGAAGAGACAGAATACGTATATTTTTTAACTTATGGAAACATTTAACTTATAAACTAAAGACATAAGATTTTTATGTTATACTCAACGATAATTATACACGTTATGCTAGTAAGTCGAAATTTATAAAAATGCGCCATATTATAGTTGATTGATAACAATATGCTTTTACATTGATTGATTCTATATTTTGCATCAGCTGCCGAAACGCCTCATTACAATGGTGTTAAGTAATCATAAATAACTCACTTCGTCATATTTTCAGCAGAAAAGATGAACCAAATATACACGGTAGCGCTAGAAACTGGCAGAAATCTTCATTAAAAACAGGGAAGCTAGAACGGGTTCTCGCTTATAAGAGACGCTGCTATCTACAATGAGTATATGTCACAGGAAGAGAAAAAAATAAAAATTAAATAAAAAGGATATACAATTGCCTCAACTGATTATTCAATCACAGCAATAAAGAGTTAGCTATCACGTAATTCACTGATGCTTTCCCCCTTCTGAATACTATTCTTTTCTAGAGAAAGCTTTACATTTAGAAAATTCTAATTGGATTTAAAGGAAGCTGAAATATGATTTGAATGAAAACAATGCCTTTAAGAATGCAAGCGGAGTTTTAACTCGCGCGACGCTGAGGGTAGTTTATTACGGCAAGAAATTTCAGTTTAAAGCAGGGTTTCTTTTAAACGTTTTTCAGTCGCGACCGCCTTTTATCACTGAGATTTTTTCGCGGCTCCCAGGAACCCATAACATTTACAAAAATTTTGTGGGACCCCATAAGTATTTCGCAAATCCGACACACGCGTGAGTGAAACTGTCAATTTTTCACTTGTACTGTAATATACTATTGCAGTTTTAGGACATTAACTTTAATTTCTAATTTTAAGACATAGAAAAATGTGAAAAGTTTAAATAAGTAACAGACGAGATGACAGTGTCACGTGAAAAGCAAGGAAAATGAACGTTTCTATTATAAAAAGCACGCGTCGAAACGTTTTCATTTCTTTTGTCTGCATTGTATTATCATTATCTATTTTCAGATACATTGCGTAAAAATATTTGGTAATTGTAAAATTATTATAATAAGTTAAAAAAATATAAAAACTGCTAAAATTTTTAGCGACCCCCTGCTGCAGGTCCCTCGACCCCCATAAGAAACCCTCATTTAAAGGAAAATACAAGTTTGCCTCTAACTTGGTTTAAGGGAAAACGACAGAAGATTAATGGTTTTGAAATAATCAGTGATTTTTCTCGAGTTATTAAGGTCTGAATTCTTTACTTGTAAAAGTTAACATTATATTTTCCATACTATCAATTAATAAAATTAAAAGAAAAAAATAGCACTACTTTTAAGAACTAAACGGCAAAGATATTTTCATTTAATTACGTTTTCAAACCTATTAATTTCTTATTTCTAGCTCAATATTACGTTGTTTCACAATTATTGACTGATTCTGACACAAAATGAACCAACAAAACCAAAAGAAGAAATATATTTTAATTAGAAAAGTATTTTCTCTTGTCAGCTGTACATCGAGTTCAGGAAGATTCTAGTGCAAAAATGCCACAGCAATAAAAGTGGTCTCTAAAACATGCAAATGACATGAACAACAGCATGTTGTTTAGTGACCGATTGTCTTTCAAAAAGGTGTTCGAAATGGTGAAGCATTGCAGTCAGAACACGCAGAGTGATAGAAGACTTGATAACCTAGAGAAAGGAAGTGAATTTCTCTTTGGATGATCATATCTTAAAGAGAAGTGCTTGCAAAAGTAATTATCGTTCTTAATTTCTTCTTAACAACGAAGAAAACCTTTTCGAAATATTTTTTTTTCATTTTGTCGATTTCGTGTCCTGTCAAAGTACAATGTATTTCTGTTTGAGTAAAAGTATTTATTACAGGCCTAGCTGCGAGCGATCCAGTGAAATATATGCATAGTTACGTCATGAGTAATTCAATTGTTTCTATATTACATAAGAGGAAATGCCTCCACGTGGCATTAACATAAAAAATTCACATCAAATACTCTTTTCTTGATCTAGTTTTTCCATTTTCAATAGCTTACTTTTGATAGAAGATTTTACTGAAATTAATATATCAGAAATCAGACTGTAATAACTTTTTAATTTTCTAACATATTAAATTTGTAAGTAATTTAACTATATAAAGTTATTGATTTTATGAAGCATTTGTAAGCTATTCTAGAAGTTAGGCCGTAATCTGAAGTTTTAATACTGTACTTTTGTATTTATCTATCAACTTTTATTGAAACGCAGAAAGTTACAACATATTAAGAAAATTTGTTCTATAATTTTTGCGAATCATATTATGATGATGGTTTTCTTTTACTTTAGTTTAAAGTAAAAGGAAGTAGTTTTAGTGGTGGGTATCTGGAAAGAAATTTACTACTTTAAAAGATATGAAAACTGTTGAATAAAATCACAAGTTTCCATATTTCCTGTTCAACTTCAGCAACATTACATGTATGTTTCTCCCTTATTTAGATTCGCCCTTATTTTTATTCCGTGCCTTTTTCAAATACCTTTACTATGAACTGTAGGAGAGTATACTTTAAAAACATGCCTATCACAGTTTAGAACTCGTCCTTACTGTACATATGATTTTAATGGAGAATTTTCTTAGCAAACGAAGGAAACATCCACGTTCTGGAGAATGCCAACTTCCTGATAATATGAGTTATAGATTTATCAATACGAATAATATAAATAGTGCTATTTTTTTTTAAATAAAATGAAATGTAATGTGAAACGAAGTCTATAATTCACATAAATAGAGAAGAGAATAAATTTTCTCACCTTTCTTTTCGTTTCATTTGGAATAGTTTAAAAGGATATCCAACCAGCAATCGCTAGAAGCTGTTAAGCATGCAAAAACATTATCGATGGTTTGTCACAGGCACCACTTACGCGTTCAACACTCTTATATGTTAGTCCAAAGATATAAATCTTTGGACTCACAGCCGATTCGCAACTGTTTCACAACTGAACTCCCTAGCACACCAAACCGTATTTTTCAGCGGGGTATCTGAAAGCTTCTCTGTTTTCTCTGCTCATTGCATCCCTGTGAGGACAACAGGATCTAGTAGGATCGGACGTAGGTTTTTTTAAATGTGTTTTCCCGAATTCTCTTGAAAGTCACCAAGTTGGCAAGAAATCGCTAAATATCGGAAAAGCCCTTCTATAATAAAATTGCCTATATCTCTAGTTTTAATTGGTTGTGATGTAGCCGTTCCTCAATAGACACTAATGCCGGCTAGCTTTAAAAGGATTTATTAACAGAGCACACAGGGAACGGTTACAAACAAAAGAAATATACATAAAAATGAAACATATACCAAATGGAACATCAAACATTGAGAATAACATAACATAGTAAGCTATCATCATGGCGGCTGGAGGTCGACTGACGTTTCATATCGCCACGAGATGGCGTTTAAATAAAATAGTTCGGTTACAGTTCATGAGTTCATGGCGTGAATAAAATAGTTCAATTACACTTAAATAGGTCTGTTACATGGTCTATTTTTATAATTCTAAAACCATTGTTCTCAGAATTAAAAGATCTGTAATTTTTTGCAGGAAACACTTACATAAAAGTTATGTGGCCACAAATTAAATTAAACACCAAATAAATCATAAAATCGCTGCTATAAAAACGTAAATAAATAAAACAAATAATTAAAGGCCTTACAAAATATTAAACAACACAAAAGATCAGAAATACAATAAAAATTAATAAAATATTTACAACTATTTGCAGGAATATCAATGTTTAGTTTACTTACTAAGATGACTTACACTTTTTTTTATCCTTTTGTTTTTATTTTTTAATTTTTAAAATTTTTTATAAGGTATTTTCAGCCTCCTTACTGTTTGACTTCGTGGTGTAACTGGATAGCATATTCATCTGGCAGTAGGGAGTCCAGTGTACGGTTCTCGGCTGGAAGTTGTCGATTTTTCATCTCTTCTGCTTCACAAAACTTAATGGACTTTCATATTTATTAGACATCACTTCCTTTGCCCTAGCGCCACATAAAATCCAACAGGCAAGTCACAAAATGTTTAAAAACAGCTCATTTTTAGAATTCCTGTTAGAGTGTTAAGGGCTGTAATAGATATTTTTAAATTCATTATATTAATTCTTTAAGAATAATACATGGGCATATCATAAAATTTATAATGTTCTAACACTTCGTTTAGTTATTTCAGAAACATTCATTAAAAATTGCTTTTATACTACATTGTTCATAAATACTCCTACCTAAGCAAAAAAACTGCAAATTGTTGTTGTCCTGAAACTGAAATAAGTAGTTTACACATTACAATCAGCTGAAATGAAATTATTTTCTTAGTACCTATCATTGCAAAAGCGAAACTCTCTTATCTTTTCGTTAGTTTTTAATTTGAAGTGAAGAATGTATACTCTGCTTACATGCCCAAATGCATGTTTATTAAAAGACAAGTGTATATTTGAACAAAACTTGTAAAGCTTAGCACACCGTAGTTGTAAAAAATCTACGAGGATAGGGGGTATAAAATCGATTACTTCTGGTAGATTCCGCACTTGAAAATTGATTCATCTAGCCATGCAGTGTTATCCAGATGTTGATAATGTTCAAATTTTGCCAAAAGTTTAATATTACATTTCGTACAATAGGTAAAATCGAGAAGATGTAGTAAGAAATTTTACCGTTTGTTATCCAAGTATTTAGAATGTAGATGTTTGAACGACGGGCATTTAAAGAAAACTCCGGTACCTTCTATTTCTCGAAATTACCAGAAGGCATATACGTTAAAGTTACCTATAGGGGCCGGATATGGTTACAATTGGACATCAAAATCAGTTACTGTACCATTTACAGTTATACAAACACTAGACCAAAATGTCGCCAAATGGTCACCACTTTTTGTCAACTTTCAGCGGCTTTAGCCAAATTTGGACACACAAATTACACCAAAACCATCGCCAGCTTAGCAATATATCGCCAACTGAGTGAGAAAGCCATTTAACTCAATGTTAAATAGATTTTACTTTTCCGCCAGAGCTTCGTCTCTTTCAAACATTTTATTTTACAGTATACAAAGAATAGTACAATTTTACATATAATTTCATTAAAATTATTCAAACATGCACAAAATTTGTAGCAATATATCTATATAAGAACATACTTACCGTGAAGGATTTTCACATTAGCTATATTTTGATCTGCAAAATTTGATTCGAAAGTGTTTTTTCTATAGTCACATTCTATGGCAACGTATAATTCAAAATTTTATCTTTTGCCATGTTTCTATATATTATCAGCATCTTACTGTATAAAGCATTTCTCCGTTTCTTGCGTCCTTCACCCTGCAAAGCGATCTATATATTCCAAAAGAAAGCGAAATCTATATTATGTAACTAACTTAACTCACTCCTAATTGATGTTAAAAGAAATATTATATGAATAACGGAATTTTCTGCTTATGTTGCCAAGTTAATATCACAGCCGTAAGTTTAGAATTTGGTGTTAGCCACTCGATCCATATGACGGACTACGGACAGGAGAAAGCTACCAGTATTTTCCCTTCCTAATAATTGTAAAGAATGATGGCCTCACATAGTGTATAAACAAGGTAGTGCAATTCCTTTCATTATATTTTGATAGTACAAAGAAATATTAATGCGTGTTTAAAGATCCTGCCA